ACCAAGCTTAAAAAGACAAGCATTATTCATAACACACAGTTGTCTAATACCCAATCCTCCTAAGAACTTAAGCACCATCATCACATCCCACTTCACCAAATGAACTCTTATATGCTTCTTGCTATCACCCAAGATAAAAGAACACTGTAACTTTTAAATCTCATACAAATAAGCTTTAGGAATTCTAGTAGTCATCATAGTATATATAGGAATGGCTTTAATGATAGTTTTAGAGAGTGAAAGTTACTCGACCTGCAAAAGAAAGATGTATAGATTTCCAAGAGGCCAACTTTGACTTAACTTTCTCTAGGATATAATTAAAATCGCACTTTCTTGGTGTTCTACCGAGGAAAGAGACACCTGTATATATTCCAAGCAAGTGTGTTTTAGAAAAGAGAAGCATAACAACCAATTTATGACGAACAGACACATAAGTGTTTCTAGAGAAAAGAATGTGTGTTTTATCACTACTCACTTGTTCACTAAACAAAAGTCAAAATTGAATAATAATATCAAGAGCACACTGCATTTGAACCTATCTAGCTTGACCAAACAATAAAAGATCATATGCAAACACCAAGTGAGACATGAGAGGACCATTTCTACCCGCCTGCATAGCTTTCCAAAAGCTTTCCTCCACACTATGAGAAATCAGATGAGGCAATTTATTCATACAAACAACAAAGAGGTACGGAGAAATATAGCTTCCTTGTTTGGCACCTCTTTGAGATTTGAAAATTATGATTTAGTTCATTCCATTTCACATTAGTGGTCACAATTGTAATAGAGACCATAATAATAATGACTAGCTCCAAAGGAAATCCCACCTCCTTCAAGATATTTTCAATGAAATACCACTTTAGCATATCATATGTTTTAGTTAAATCAACTTTAATCACAAAATACTCCATCTTACCTTTTATCTTATGCATGATATATTATCCACTTCTTGTGGCACCACAATATTATCATGAATACTTCTCCCTGGTGCAAAGCTTGTTTGAAAAGGAGAGACAATTTAAGGAATAATAATCTTCAACCTATTTACAACCACTTTTCTAATAATCTTATACAAATTATTAAAAATGGAAATGGGACAAAACTGATTAATAAACTCAGGATGTGATACCTTAGGGATTAAGCAGATGTCTTTTTGATTAATCTCAACAAGCGCATCCAAATTAGCCCACATTTTCCTAACAAAATTATAAGTATCTGATCCAATGACTTTCCAGGTTTTTTGATAAAACCAACAAGATATCCATATGGTCCATGTGATTTCTAAGGCCCCATATCAAAAACTGCCTACCTAACCTTTGTATCATTCACAACAACACTTAGAATATTTAAAGATTTTTGATAAAATCTAGGAAAAGAAATCGGTGTCTGGAACCATGCATTCTTGATAGCAGTTTCAATAAAAAAGATTCTTGTAAAAAGAAGTGTCATAGATTGAAGTCGGTGTTCATCTTCCACCCATATACCATTAATGTCACAGAGCATTTGAACTTGATTTTTCCTTCATATTAACAAATTTCAAATGATAATACTTCTTATTACAATCCTCATCATGAAGCCACATAACTCGTGAGTGTTGAAACCACATAAACTTTTATTTCTGAAGATTTTATTTTTACTAATTACGGAGAAACTCGAACTCTAATTTATGGAGAAATTTATTCCCTCGACCAGCCTGCAGTAGCCTTTAAATTTTATTAATTTGAATTAGTAGTTTTGACTTTTGACCAACTACTATACTAATATTTTCTTCTAATTCTCTAATTTTTCTTGCATTTGTTTCAAATTTTCATTAACATCAGTAGCAGGATCCCGTGCCTCATTGATCATATTAATATAAGTAGCTTATGTTATCCATGCACTTTCAAAATGGAAATATTTGACTTTTACTTGATGAACATTACAAAATGGTATGATTATAATGGGTTGATGATTAGAGAAATCCAAACGAGTAAGAATTTTTCCACACACATTCAGGAAGTTAAGCCTCCAATCTCAATCAATTTTTTCAAATATTTGATTACCACCATGGAAAATAGGTCCAGAATAGTATGTGAGAGGGAGTTAAAAAAGCGAAAATCACATTCTCATGAATAATTGAGGAGTTGACTAGCCATTTCCCATGCTCTTGAGAATAGATATTACTCTCTTGGAGCATAAGGTTCAGGCCTAAAGATGTCTATAAATACTTTAACCTTGAGGTTGAGAAGGAAACTCAAGGGTTGTCACGTATTATTATTTAGTAAGTACAAGAATCAGTTAAAGTCCCAATCTAAAAACCAAAAAGAGGAGATTAGCTCACCCATCATTCTCATAAGAGAAAAAATTTAATTCATTTTAAACTTATGCAAATGAGGTTACAAAATGTGCAGTTATAATAAGAATTCTCATAAACGTAAATGGGTCATAAACATCGTTTTCTAGACTCATATTAGGTTACATAATATTTTCTTAAAATAAGTGAAAGGAAGCAAACATCAACTTATTATAAATTATTAAAACCACAAATTAAAACAAAATAAAATCATTACAAAACAATTAAAATAAAATTCTCCATGCTCTTGATTGGTGCTCATTATTCAGGGGGTATATATGATCATTCTTGGCTTAAGGTGTAAATGATTGTATTAGTCTTAGAATAGATGGTCAACCTTGTTAATTTAAACACAAATGATCATTCACTTTCTCAAGAGGCAGATGACCGATTCTTCTATTTAGGCGCATATGATCATTTAGTCTAACTTGTAGACTTTGGTACAGATGGTCATTTCTTTTACTTGGATGCATATGATCATTTAGATTTAAGATCATTTTTTTCTATTTGCTATAATTATTAGAATACTATGAGATTAAAATTATTTATTTTAAATGATCATAATCGTAGAATTTTCTCAAATATCTTATTAATCTTGAAAATTAATAAATAAAATAAATTTAAATATAGAATATAAATTTACATTATTCAATATATTTAATCAAATGAAAACATATGTGATAAATCAATAATGTATTTTAACTTAAAATGATCACAATAAGTTAACTTGCAAAATAATATAAGTAATAAATTAATAATGTATTTTATTTAAAATAATCACAATAATAGAACACGCAAATAATGTGTTTTATTTATAGTACTGATATAGTTTTATTGATTATTTAATTTTGAATACTACTATGAATATAATATTTAATCTATACTTTAGAACTCACATAATTATAAATATAAAACAATATTGTTTTATTACCCATATTTTTATTTAATTAAAAAAAATTAAAAATATAAATTTATTATTTATTTTTCATTTTTGTTTGATCTTTTTTTATTTATAATTTTTTTACATGTTTTATACTGTGTTTATTTTAAATAAAATATATTATTTATTTATATCTTATATTTTTATTTTATTAAAAATATTAAATAAATTAAAATTATTACTTATATTTTAATTTGGTTGATTTATTTAATTGAAAGTTCGATTTAGTTTTTGTTTTTTGCAAGTTATATTATTGTGATCATTTTAAATTTAAATATATTATTGATTTATCACATATGTTTTCATTTGATTAAATATATTGAATACGGTAAATTTGCAAGTTTAGTAAGATTTGTTTGCAAATTCTAAATATATAATACTAATGTGATAACATTATGATAATTATAGCAAATAGAAAATATTTCTAAAAAAAATTCTCTATTTATAAAATTTTTATATATTAAGCATAATTGATAAAAATTTATTAAAATGGTGTTTATATGAAATTAATAAATCTTAAACATGAACCGGAAGACTTCCAAAAAGTCTTCCAGTGAACAAACGAAAAAAATATGAACAAAAAGACTTGGAAAAAGTATTCTGATGAACAAACGAAAAAAATGTGGACCGGAAGACTTCCAAAAAGTCCTCCGGGAAACAAATGAAAAAAATATGAACAGAAAGACTTGCAAAAAGTCTTCCGGTGAACAAATGAAAAAAATTATAAATTTTTATAGGAGGATATTTTGGTCCAAAAAATTTTAGTGTAGAGATATGGGTATAATTGTAGGGGTATGGAATAAAATTTTTATTATCTTTCCATATTTTCCCACCAATTCTGGAAGCTCTATATTTTCCCATCAATTTTGGACAGATAGCCGCGAATGCATGTTCTATTATTATGCCTATTCACAGTGGTTGATGGAGAGAGAGAGAGAGAGAAAATGGATTCACGTTGAAGTAGCACAAGGTAACAATAGAAATTGCAAAAATGGGAAAGGAAAGGCAAAATAGGGTTGTGATGACGATGGCCAGACAGTCATGGATAACGTACAGAGATTTTGATGCTTTGGTTAACTATGGAGGCACTAGTATTTTCATGGTGGTTGAAGCTTCTTGTTTTCTAAATCGGAAAATAATGAACTTTACATTAAATATTTTATCACTTATTGCTGGGCGTGATTTAATTTATTCAATTTCCCTAGTATCAATAATACTATATTCAAACAATTAACTCATCTTTCAAATAAATGTTGAATCAAGCAAATTGATGTCAACTCCAAATTCAACAAACTTAGATTCTGATTAGATCCACATTTCAAAACCAGAGCAACCATAAAACAGAATTCAAATGCACGTTTGCCATGAAAAAACTGCGGCTACAAATACAAGCTTCTTCTGTAATGACAATAGCCATCAAGGACCAAAAGTTGCAACTTCTGATTTTCGAGGATCCAAACTAAAAAAGAAAATACAAGGACTATTTTTTTTTCAGAGACCAAATATATATAGATATGAAAGAAGTACAAAACAAACACCAATGGTGCTTGGATATACTAATAACTTCAACGCAATTCTCCTTTTAATATCATAGGTAGTTCTCAATCCACATCCTATAAGCTCAAATATGTTAAAATATACTATCGAAATTCTGGAAAATATACTATTGGCAGTACGATAATATGCTTCTAATATGCTTCCGCTAATCCTCTGCCTTTCATAATTCTTTCACAAAGAAAGACCAGCAAAAAGCAACTCCAACTCCTTCTCTTGAGATACAGTTCTCTGAAATACAAGGTAATCACTTTTAGAAGAAGAGTCGTTATTTAAAACTCTACTAAGTAATACAAAGATATATTGACAGAAACAACATATAGCTAATGGACAAAGAGTGAATGCCTTACCTGAACTGACATGAGTTGCAGAATTTTATTAAGAACCTTTAGACGATGTGCAACATAGGTACTTTTTGCAGGTAATTGATTCATTCTCCTTATTTCTTCTTGTACTACGGCTTGTTTTCTTTCGCACCATCCTGGTTTTTGTGGTTCAGCCTGAGAATAAGTAGCTCCATCTTCCATCATTTCATCAAAGGAATCCATTTTTACACTGCACTAACCAAACATCAACGGTAAGTAATCCAAAAACATGTTCTTGTTTGCACATTGTAAAACAAAGTTCTAGCAATCACCAAAAAGAAACAGACAAACAAACAAAGATTCGCTAAAACACAACTCAAACCTAAATAACAAAAATTAAACTTGCTCTTACCCAAAATTAAACTTAGGGTTTAAAGGAGGCTAAGTTAATAACAAAAATTAAACTTGAATCTATAACAGAAAACATCGAAGCATAAAAGATGAAATAATAATATAAAATGAACCATTGATTGAGAGGAATTTACCTTGTGTCAGCGTAAAGATTTTGGTGAGTTTTGTGGAAAATACGGCGAGGATTTTAGATTCACTGTTGTGTCGTTCGGAATTCGGATTGATAGAACAAAAACAGAAGAGTGGTTTTCGTGGAATCGAATCGAATTTGGTCTCTAAAATCTGAATTTATATACTGTTTGTGTTGTTTAGGTCAAGTAAAATTGTTTGGTTTTGGATAATGAGGAGTCATTTAAACTTGAATAGTGAGATTTTTTCGGTCATATCCAATGAAAAAGAGATTTTTATGTCACAGTTGTTGAGATTAAAAGATACTCCTGACTCACGTGCCTCCTCTTTTTCACGTGTCATAAAAATAGTTAAAATTAAATATCAGCTGCCACACAAAAAATTTTACCGACAATTTATTTATATAAAAATAGACACTTTTTTATTGATTTGTTGGGCAAATTTGGGCCAAGGTTGAAAAATAAAGTTAGCATTTAATTAGAAATTAGGAAAATTTTAATCATACCCCCTGTCATTATTCCTACACTTAAATATTTACTCAAAATATTTCAATTAGAGATAAATTAAAATAGATTATCAAGTCATTTAATTAAAATTAATCCTTTTAATACATAAATATTTATATTAAAAATAAAAATAATATATTATTATTCATTATTTTAATAACCGACTCTCCTACTTTTTCTCTCTTATTTTTTATATTTATGTGTAAAAAAAATTAATTTTAAACAGCTAGACCCTTTTCTTGTTTCTTGAGATAGGTTGGGCATTAAGATCTGATGTGACCAAAACCTTCACACCCATGACATTGTATCCCTTTGCTATTTGTGGGTTTTTCTTCAGTTCTGGTTCTTCTTCCTGCATCATTGGATCTATTGATGTCATGTGAGATGTTCTTGACATTAGGTCTTGTCTTCATATCCATTCTTTTTATAACCTTGTTGAATTGTCTTTCAAGAAGTACTATGGCATTAGACAAGCTTTCATTTGTATCTTCATCTAATTCATCCTCTCTACTTTCAGTATTTGACACAAAGGTTATGCTTTTCTTCTTATCAGCTTTGTCACTTATTCCTACTTCAAAGGTTAAAAGAGACCCAATAAGTTCATCAACTCTCATCTTGCAGATGTCTTGTGCTTCCTCTATAACAGTTACTTTCATGTCAAATCTCTTGGGAAGAGATCTGAGAATTTTTCTTACCAGCTTTTCTTCTGTCATTTTTTCTCCTAGGGCACTTGAAGCATTGGCTATTTCAAGAATATTCATATAAAAGTCATGTATGCTTTCATCATCTTTCATCCTCAGTTTTTCAAACTTAGTAGTCAAAAGTTGAAGTCTAGATATCTTTACCTTGGATGTACCTTCATGAGTGACCCTTAGTATCTCCCAGGCTTCTTTAGCTACCACACATTTGTTTACCAATCTGGATATGTTCCTATCAATTCCGTTGAACAAGGCATTCAAGGCTTTGGAGTTTCCCAGAGCTAATTCATCCTCTTCCTTTGTCCATTCTTCCTCAGGCTTCAAGTCAGATGTAGCCTTTCCATCTTTATCAATAATCACAGGATGTTTCCATCCCTTTATGACAGCTTTTCAGGCCTTACTGTTCAGAGATTTCAAGAAAGCAACCATTCGTGGTTTCCAATAGTCATAATTACTCTCGTCCAGAACAGGTGGTCTGTTCACAAATCCTCCTTCTTTGTCCATGGTACCAGAAAGTATCGTCCCTAGATCTCACCCAGAACCAGAGCAGGATGCCTGCTCTGATACCAATTGAAATTCTGGTATCAGATATTAGATGTCGAAGGCGATGTTTCTGACACTAATATCTGTTAAGTCATCAATAAGAACAAAGATAATCATATAATAAACGTAAAGAGACACAAGCAATTGTTAACCCAGTTCGGTGAAAACACACATACGTCTGGGGGCTACCAAGCCAAGAAGGAAATCCGCTAAGTAGAATTAGTTTGAAGATATACAATAGACTCTCTCTAGTTTACCATCTTCTCACCTAATCTCTACCCTTGCAATTTCTACCTAGGACACTCCTAGATAAGAGACACCTCTCACCCCCCCCCCCCCCCCCTCAATCACAGCAGTGATAACAACAACAAATAAAAAGACTTTAGAAGACACTCTTCAAAGACACAACTTGATCTTGTTTAAAAGTTTCAATCAAGTACAATACACTCTTGCTTACAAGCTTTGAGTGAAAAAATTACAATACTGAACTTAGTCCAATTCACACATTAAGACAATGAGTGAATGTCTCACAAATTACTAAAACACACAAAGGCTAGAACACTAAACCTTACACAACTGCATACACTTAATCCTAACTTCTCTAGTCAGAAGGCTAGGGTTTGCAGATCCTTAAATAGAAATACTTGGACGGGCTTGGGCAGTGGAAAAAGTAACAGCAGATTGTAAAGAGATCAATCTTCATAATTTTCCCCAATGAAACAGATTTGATTTGATCAATCAGATTCAATCAAATCACTCTTCAAATCTCCAATATAATCTTCTGATAATAACTCTACTGAAATCAATAGGTGAATCAGAAACGCCTTTGCACAATACCAAAATCCTCGCAGATTTATACCAGATTAATGCAACAGGTTTACACAAGAGAGATAGACAAACAACCACATTTATGCAGAATGTTTTGTTCATAAGAGTCAGGGCATCATGTTTGACATCATGACATAAGTCCTGCTACAACATACAAAGCAACCTGCAGAACCTTAGAAACATATGTCACGACATCCTATAGGACATCTTGTGATTACATCAAGTTTTACCAAAATACCTGCCAATCAGGAACTAACATAGATGTTTATTTCATCTCCAGTTTTGCTTCCCTTTTTCTGTTTTGTCAGCATAAGCATAAATATGGCATACATGCACTCATACATATGCATGGCACCCAAGCATTTTTCTACCATCCTGGTGTTTATCTGTTTCGTTCACTTTGGCGTTTACCTCCCCAAGTGACTGGGTTTGTCTATTCTTTCAAATAGGTTTGTCAGCCTTTAGGCATAAAGTACCCATCCTTCCTAAATTCTCCACAGAGTTTGATCCTCGTGGATGATGGTTGGTTCAGTTATCTTTTCCATGTTTGGATAAGATAAATTCCCATTTGAGTTCATTCCTTAATGGTTGGAGTCGTGTTTGACTGTTTCTTTCTAGCTTGTTCCTAGATTGAACTTTGATGATGTCAGTTGGTTTTGTTCCATCAATCCTTTCATGATGCCACTCTTTAGTGAATAGTTTTCGAATTGGATTGTATCCGTCAACCCGTTGACGATAATAATGTTTGGTGATTTTCTACCTTACCATCAACTCTTTAATGATGACTCTCAAGTTTATGTATCTTTCTGTCAACCCTTTTGACAATATCACTCATTTGTGAAGCTTTTCTTTCCCTAGTAGAGACTATATTTACAGTTCAACCTTCATTGAGGATATTTTCGTTCTAGGATGTCATTCGTTCATGCTTGAATATGATGATCAATCATTCTAGATACCTTTATTAGAGCCCATCTTTTGGTTCTACTTTCAATGAGGTTATGTTGTTTTCTTTCCCCAGTGGAGACTGTCCTTTCCAGTTCTACCTCCAGTGAGGATCTTTTCTTCTAAAGTGTCAACCAGTCATGCTTGAACCTATTGTTCCATAACTTTAGATGTCTTGTTTTCTTTTCTTTCCTCAGTAGAGACCGTCTTTTCAGTTCTACCTTTATTGAGGATCTTTTTATGCTATTATGTCATCCGGTCATGCTTGAATCTGATGCTCAATCATTTTAGATACCTCCATTGGAGCCCATCTTTTGGTTCTAATTCCAATGAGGATGTTACTTTTACCTACCCTTTGGTCCAATCTTAAAGCTTCGAGGATGTATCTTATTCTTGCTTATTCTTTTCAGAGTGTCAATCAGTCATTGCTTGAATTTGTTGATCAACTACTTTGGATATTCCCGTAATGGAGATCATCCTTTGGTTCTACCTCTATTGAGGGTCTTTTCTTATAAAGTGCCAACCAGTCATGGCTTGAACCTGTTGTTCCATCACTTTAGATGTCCTGTTTTATTTTCTTTCCCTAATGGAGACTAACTTTTCGATTCTACCTCCTGTGAGGATCTTATGTCGGCTTTCTTTCTAAAGTGTCATCCTGTCATGCCTGAACCGGTTGATCAATCACTTTAGATTTCCCTAGTTTGTTTCAACTTCCCCAGTATTGTTGTCATCCCCCAGTGAGTGGTTACTCATTGTGTTGACTTTATCCCTGTTTGTTTTCGTTTTCGTCTGTATTTCTGCATTTATCATCCCATCATTTTCATCATGTTAGACTTCGTGGCATGTCAGCATTATAGATTAGTTTTCTTTTGTCCATAACATAGCATGACATTGCATCTAAGGAAAAAAATTCCGGTTATCTGTATTTAAATACCTTTCACCATAATTTCATGAGGATTATCATCACTCATATCATCCGGTAAAGATATTTAAATAGGGGCAACTGTCATACCCCAAATTTTACCCACAGATCCTCTATTTATTTTACACATCATTTTAAGTCAACGTTTTTTCGCATTTATAGTCATGTAGTCCATTAATCAATAATCACGGGTTTGTTCCGTTTAATTTTTTTCACCTAATGTCATCTTGAGTTTTGTCTGTTTTTTTTCCGTTTAGATTTCTT